CACACACAATTATTGTATTATGATTATATTAACAATATAGTAATTTGAACTTTTCCCTGGAATCTTTAACGTGGCTTCTCAAGCAGATGTCAATGCAAATTGAGTGACATTCGTTTTTGCTAAAACAACTGCGTATCACAAACCATTCCCATTTTATTTTTTTACCTTTTCATTGTTCGTTATATCTCAGCGCTGCTGATCTCCTGCAGCCTTTTTTCGCAGCCTCTTCCTGTCTACATGCACTCCGGCGACGGCTGCACGGCATTTCTCCTGGTGGTGGAAAGATTGGACCACACCGGTGTGATGTGCGTTAAAACAGACGCCTGTCAACTGTATCATAGCAGCTGGGTCCAAAGTGCAATTAGGATAAAGAAATAACGTCACCAGCACTCCAAAGGATGATTAAGCAACAGTCCATTTATTGGCACATTGCCATTTGAATGGCAATGTGCCAATAAATGGACTGTTGCTTAATCATCCTTCGGAGTGCTGGTGACGTTATTTCTTTATCTTAGTTGCACACGGTGCCATCCGTGGTCACTACAAGCACCCACCTGTCCCAACGGGACAGGTGGGTGCTTGTAGGGGTTGATATTTCGGTAAGGAGTGCAGCAAGATCTTTGATTCCTCAAAGTGCATTTAGGAGACAGAACGTTGTCACCCCATAACAGGAAGTGACTGAAGAAGGATCTGCGTGGCAGGATCACCAGGGATTAGTTTAAGGAAAGGTGCAGATTTAAAAAGACTGAAAGTGACTTTCGAAATGACATTGAATACAACTTGTATGAGAGTTTAATGATTGGATTTACTTCTACTTTTCCTGCTTCAGTATTTGTAGGTGTTTCCTGTATGAGCCTGTACACAGCTCTGCCATCAGTAAAGCCCGTGCTCCATGGTGATTTGAGAGCGCAGGGATTCAGCGTGTGTTGGATTTCTGCAGAGAGACCGCTGCTTCCACACAAGCAAGGTTCCTTCTCTGCAGCATGCTGGCAGGGGACAGGCTTCTCTACTCAGCTGCGCTTTCAATCCCGGGACTAAGGGGAATTTATCAAAACCGGAGCAGATAGAATCTGGAGCAGTTGCCCATAGCAACCAATCAGCTTCTCTCTAGGTTTGTTCAGTTAAGCTTGACCAGGAAGCAAGGAGCCGGCTTTCTGGCCAATCAGGAAGCCGGGGGGCACGTAATGACTTCCTAATCGGCCAGCTTCCCAATCTGGTGACGAGGAAGCATGGAGCCGGCTTCCCAGCCAATCAGGAAGCCGGGGCAGTGCGTAATGACTCGCTACCCAGCCTCCTGATACCGGAAGTTCCGGGATCGGGGGGTAAGTAGCGGGAGGAATTTGGACGAGTAGGAGGCACTCGCCCAAATACTTGGTATCGGCATCGATACAGATAATAGTATCGCTATCGGTACATCCCTAATAAAAACATTGATGAGATACATTGTATTAAGTTCCATTCACATCCATGTTGTCAAACTAACAAGTCTTTATATCTCTGTAGAAAATAAATCAAGGACTGGACTGGACTGGACTCTCAAGCTTGAGATAGCTGGTCGGATGACCAGCGAAACGTCTTCAAGAAACATACAGGAAGTCCAGTCCTTGATTTATTTTCTACAGATATCCCATGACCCGGAGGAATGAGAACCTTCATAGACAATCCTTTATGTATATGTTATGAATAGCAATTATTGAAAAGACCGATTCCCTTCAAGCAGCAAATTTCTTCCGTATCTAGCGAGCCGCGGGGCGAAGGAGCCACAATTGGTTGTTTAAACTGTGAAAGGCCGCAGCCGAGGTTCGCTCTTGCGCTAAAGTATTCTGCTGGCCGACCGCCAGCCCGAAAAAGTCAAACATTACCTGCCAGAGTGCATTAGCGGGGTGTCATTGATGTCCCGGAGCTCGCTGTCTCATAAACCTCCAGCAAAATTATCTCTTGGCAAGAGGCTGGGCCGCATTGTCACTCAACTTTATGCGTTCGCGTTTTTTTTTCATGGGGCCGAACAAATAACGCCGGCGAATCACGGGGCGCTTTTTTTTTTCTGCGAATGGGACCCGACTCAAAAAGCCAGCAACATATAAAACCGGCTCTTTCTCCCCCCTTTTTATTAATTGCACTTTTTAGGGGATATTTGGAGTTCAGGCTGCAGCATAAATCACAAGTAAAGCGGTGTCGGTTGCTTCCCCGGGATGGCTGCTTTGTAGGGTTCAGATGTAGTCATAAATTATAGTGTCCGCGCTGAATTAATGGCTATAAATTACAGCTGGTCAGCCAATGAACCACCCAAACTAAGAGGATTTAAAATGCGTCTTCTGGCCTCTCCGCAGAACTTGCATTTCTGCTAAATGGTGCAACGAGCACTTAGTCTTATGTCTGGAAGGGTGACCATTTGCTCAGAGACGAGGCATACAGAGCATTATGTCATCCTAAATCTGGAGCTTCTCACAATGTGCATTAGAAGCTGCAGCAAGTCTGATAGAGCCCGCCTCATTTCCTGGCTGGAGAATGTCCAGCATCAACTTTCCTCCCCAACCTGACTGTCCCCAGCCCACCCTTTTCATTCATTGGATTTCAGTGGCTTCAGTCATGGAGGCTCAGCATCACATGTGGGTGGTCTGCATGAAAATCCAGCCTGCCTAGAAACGCCCACTCCTCCAGACTGACACCCACCCATCAAGGCAATTTTAATATTTGCATTAGCTGCTCCCAAGAGCCAACCCATTTGGCTTATATAAGAGCTGAAGGGTCTTGAGAGGAGTCCTGAGGCTTGAGTACTTAGAGATTAAACATGTCATTAGCATGTTGATAAGAAGGGAAGGGGAACCAAGGAAGGCAAAAATATGCAGATAAAACTTCAGCTTCACAGCTGTACATTATGAGGAACGGTGCCCATTATGAGGGACTCCCCCCATCCCTGTGCTGAGTTCCTGGGTCTGTACACCTGCTGTGCCCTTTACGAGGGACTCCCACCATCCCTGTGCTGAGTTCCCGGGTCTGTACACCCGCTGTGCCCATTATGAGGAGCTCCCACCATCCCTGTGCTGAGTTCCCGGGTCTGTACACCTGCTGTGCCCATTATGAGGAGCTCCCACCATCCCTGTGCTGAGTTCCCGGGTCTGTACACCCGCTGTGCCCATTATGAGGGGCTCCCACCATCCCTGTGCTGAGTTCCCGGGTCTGTACACCCGATGTGCCCATTATGAGGGGCTCCCACCATCCCTGTGCTGAGTTCCCGGGTCTGTACACCTGCTGTGGACTACTATTATAAAAAGAATTGATATAGAGCCAGAAACTATTTTGGGGAATCTAACTGCTTGAGTTCCCACCAGATTCCAGTAGTATATGAAAGAGTTTGTGTGCTCCTTGTGTTTTGGGGATCTACTCCGGATACTCCATTTGCCATCCCTCATCCAAATCTATATAAGTACATTAACTGGAATCTGCTAAAAAAACATTGTCCCTGCTGGTGTGTGTGACTCCGGTGGGGAGGTCGGCATGTCGGCTGGACTGGTGTTATTGGGGTGACCGTTGTAAAGTCTGATTGCTGAGGAAAGGCAAATAAAATATAAAATATACCTCAGTTTCGGGTGGACGGACCCTTTAAGACGTACAGGCCGCCCTCTTATTGTCTAACATATGTTGTAGATTAGCACCTCTGTGTCAGGCCGCCAAACAGGTCTGTTTTGTAACGCGTTCCCAAGTCATTAAGTGCAATTACCGATCTGACATTCTCTGTGATTTGAGGCACTTTCATTAGCGCAGGTAAAACCGCAGGTAGGAGTTTCCAGCACAGAAAGGCCTTGATTGTCTACTAATCCGTCTCTAACCCTTGGATGACATCTCCAGCAGATAAAGCCGCAGAATAGCAGTCTGATTTCATAAATACACATAATTAATGCCTCCTTCATCCCCCGTGGCAGTGTCATTATTTGCTCTGGGGCCCGGCAGGTAGTTGGCAGCAGAAGAGAAAAATGGGGGCCGGCGCTCTGGAAATAGTCACATGAAGGCTTATCGCTCATTGTGGCGGCCGTGTGAATGTCAGGGTGATTGGAGGCCGAGTAAACAGGAAAGGGGGGGGACAGGTATGGGGGTTCATCTCCGCACTTGGCGTGTCTGAACACCGGGCGGGAGACGAGACTTGTACACAAAAATATCTCAAGGTGAGCAGAGTGCCATCGTCTTCTCTGTGGATGTTCTTCCACCTGTAGAGGTACAGAACGTTCTCTACATTGTCCGTATTGCCTGTAATGATGTACGTCTCTGATTACTGTGAAGGACTTTCAGTGTAAAAACATCACATTTTGAAGCATTCTCCTCAATATCACATAAACTAAAACTTCCATCCTCCAAATGATACAGTGACACGACGTCTGAAAAGATTAGAGCTGTCCACGCACCTTCACTGTGAGGGCCTATCTAGACAATGAGTTTTCTTCCACTCTTCTTTCATTGTTGGTCTATAAAGATATTGCAAATGAAATGGTCCAATCAGACTGCAGTATGTGCAGCCAAAATAACAAAAACCCATCGACAAGTAGACCCTGAAGATGTCCTCCATCTGTGCTGATGTTATCCCTCAGAGCTGGGGCTGTTCTCTCTGTAGCATGATTTGATGACCCCTCTAGTTCTGTACGATGACTGGCCATGATTCTATCACCTCTGATCTGATCCCGGTTCTTCTCTCTCCAGGACACGACCACAGCGGTACGGATCGGTCTTATGATGGAGGAAATGATCTTCAACCTCGCTGACACTCACCTCTTCTTCAATGACCTGGAGGTAAGTGTCCATCCACAGAGTTACTTATCTAACCAGTTACGGGGGTTAACCGTAGGTGTAAGATGGAAGTTAGAGGTTCAAGCAGATTGATTTCAAATGATGATTCTTTGAACTAGTGTTGTCTCTCTCTACATGAACTATATGAGTAAATGTTTGTGGACACCTGACCATGATACCTACACCATATGGCCACAATTAGGGAGTTCAGGTGTCTCCATTGAAGGTTCTGTTAATACTACATTAGATAAAGACATTGTAGACAATTGTGCTCTTCCAGCCTTGTGGTCTTAGTTTGGTGAAGACCCTTTTCTGTTCCCACCATGACTTTCCCTTGTGTACAAAGCCAGCTCCATAAAGACATGGTGTGACCAGTTTGGGGAAGACCCTTTTCTGTTCCACCATGACTGTCCCCTGTGTACACCCTAGCTCCATAAAGACATGGTGTGACCAGTTTGGGGAAGACCCTTTTCTGTTCCACCATGACTGTCCCCTGTGTACACCCTAGCTCCATAAAGACATGGTGTGGCCAGTTTGGGGAAGCCCCTTTTCTGTTCCCACCATGACTTTCCCTTGTGTACAAAGCCAGCTCCATAAGGACATGGTGTGACCAGTCTGGTGAAGACCCTTTTCTATTCCACCATGACTGTCCCCTGTGTACACCCTAGCTCCATAAAGACATGGTGTGACCAGTTTTGGGAAGACCCTTTTCTGCTCCACCATAACTGTCCTCTGTGTGCCAAGCCAGCTCTATAAAGACATGATGTGACCAGTCTGGTGAAGACACTTTTCTGTCCCACCATGACTGTCCCCTGTGTACAAAGCCAGCTCCATAAAGACATGGGGTGACCAGTTTGGTGGAGGAACTTGAGTGTCCCTCACAGAGCCCTGACCCCAACCCTACTGAACACTTTGACAAGCCAGGTCTTCTCATCCAACATCAGTACCTGACCTCACAAATGCTCTTTTGGACGAACAGTTGAGGCGTCCTCTGTATTTGTGGCACAATCTGGGTCTGCTCTGCGGTTATTAGTCATCGTCGTTCTCATCCTTCGATGGTGGTTGCTGCGCCGGGGAGCGCTCACAGACACAGGAAAAGCCACAGCCGCTTGGAAATCCACATCCACGTCTTATGCGGCGTCGACTTTTCCCCAAAAAAACACATGAAAACAGCCACAAGAATGGTCGAAGCTCACAATGCAATCAAGACGTATTGTTCCACAAAAGCCTTTTATTTTCCAAGCAACAACCACCCAACACTTCCAACACTGATTTACTGTTTCTCTCTTCCACGAGTCCCCTGTAATTAATTCCAGATAAGAAGGCAGCCTGTGGAAATCTCTCCCGCGATTCGCCGGACATCTGACCACACGAGTGCCAAATTACAAGCCAGCTCCTGGCACGGCGCGGCGCCCCAATCACATTGTTTTCTTTCCGCGCGGTCATCTGTTTATTCCTTCTCACCACACGCCGGATCCTAATATCCGTCTTCCACTTGGGAAAGTTTTCATCTTTCGGCCCTAGAATTTATTTATTTTATTTTTAATTTTTTGTGGCATTTTTCAGAAACTTTTATTTTGAATTCCTCGACGTCTTGTGCCGCCTTATTCTTACATAACGATGAAATTGTTTAATGGCAGGGCGTGTACGGCCCGGAGATGCTTGGGCCGTGACCTTCTGGTCCTGCAGAGTACATTTGACATCATTAGAAAATGTTTTCCTCTGATTCCAATCTTGGAGCCCTTTCTTGCCGTGCCAACATCTCATTCCGCGTTTTACCAGCTAGACCTGTGAACTTTCAAGAATGCCCGGGGTTTCGGCTGTAGTCATTGGCTCCATCTGCCAGAGGAATGAAAAGTCAAGTTGGATGCGGCCCCCTCGTCGGTGAGACTGACGAAGAGCGCCATCATGTGGTTTAATGCCGCCACTGAGCCCTGTCTTTTTATTTGTATGTGATGCTGGCAGCTGTGTGAGTGCGAGGTGCCCTCAAGCACACAACAGGGAGAGTGCGCAGGCACACGTATGGGCCAAGGTTGTAAAAAAAACAAAACCCGGTGTGCGGAAATTGGATTTCCAGCTGATTTAGGGATCCGGCCAGTTAACAACAAACGTGATTTCAATTAATAGCGGATGCAAACGGCTGTGGAAAGAGGAGAGGTCACTGCGTACACATCGTTTAATGCTAGAGCAACCAATCGGATGTGTGCCTAGAGGCCCACACGTCGCATTTATTCCTGGCTCCTTGGGGGGTAAATGCCGGTGCGGTGTACAAGGACCTATTAATGGAGAAGTACGCCATGGCTGACCTCGCTTACGGAAATGTTAGCTGCCTATACTAATCAGAATGGTTTAAATGCTTTGAGTGGACCTGATAGGAGAGCTCTGGGTCAGCCGTGTGTTTAGTGTCCGAGGATGCAGATTTTGTATGTACAGTGGCACCTCGGTTAACGAACGCTTCTGTTCGCGAACAGGAAGTTTGGCAAAATGTTGCTTCCGTTCGCGAACTCCGCATCGGGTGACAAGCACAACCGCAGCCATCTTCCCCGCTCTGGAGAACATAGACACCGGCACTCCAAGTAATGAATCAATGGCGTCTGTTTATCGACGCATGAAACACAGCACGACGCATCAAAAAGCAAAATTTCGGGGTCTGACAGGATCCCCTTCATCAGGCAACAATTAATGCCTGATGAAGGGGATCCTGTGAGACCCCAAAACGTTGCTTTTTGATGCATCGTGCTGTGTTTCATGCGTCAATAAACAGACGCCATTGATTCATCACTTGGAGTGCCGGTGTCTATGTTATCCGGTGATTATAGACGGCTGCCATCCGTCGACTGCCGCAGCGCCCGTCTTTTATAAGGAACAGCGGTTTTGAGTGCGATGGATTCGTGGACTGTATCTTCCCCGCTCTGACACACGGTCGTGGCTTCCTCTAGTTGAGATCGCGGTCTGATCACAGTTTGATTCGGTTCGCAACCAATTCAATTCGTGACCAGAGCGAGTTAAGTTCGTGAACGGAGGTACCACTGTATTTGTCTTTTGGTTGAACTCGATGGACATTTTTTTTTAACCAGTCTATAGAACTATGTCTTGGGATAAATTCCCCATAATTGTCAGTATTCATGCTGTGATCCAGCGCCATCGTATTCTGTTCTATCACTTGTCACAAAGGATTGGTCCCGAGCTCAAACTCAAGGCCCAGAGGCTGAATCCGGCCCACCGGGCCATTTCCTAGACTTCTACTTTCAGATCCTAGGTATTACTGTGTTTCCCCCGAAAATAAGACAGTGTCTTATTTTTTTTTTGCACGAAAAAAGACACTAGGTCTTATTTTCGGGGGATGTCTTACCTGGCTGGGGGAGGACTGGACGAGGTCCCGGAAGGCGGCGTGCTGTTGCCGGTCCCAGCGGATGATATTCCGCTTTCATCG